CCTTCGCCAGAATGGGGAAGTTCTCTTATTATTTGTTCAAATAAGTTTTCCACTCGTAGATGTTCCTCTTCCCCTTCTGGTACCCCTGTAATTCGGATGTTGGAACATTTAAAGATGTCCTGGAGGTTCCTAAGCCTCTCCTCATTTTTTTGAATTCTTGTTTCTTCATATTTTTCTGTTTGGTCATTTTTTCCTTCCTTCTGGTCTGCTTCCTTGATTTGAGTCCCAGTTTCCTTTCCATTACTATTGGTTTCCTGTGCATTACCATTCATTGCAATTAGTTTAGCCTTCGTATGTTCCTCTAATTTGTGACTAAAATCAGTCAGTTGTGTGAGGATCCTGATCACCAGTGTTTTGAACTGTGCATCTGAAAGTTTGGCTATTTCTTCATTGCTTAGATTTATTGGCTCTGGGACTCTGAGTTGTTCTTGAGCCAAGTTTTTATCTGTTTGTGCCTGTTACATATGAGGAGCGGAGCCTTAGTTGTTCACCAGGGTGGGCCACCCAGATTTCTGGTTTGTGACGCTGTAGGTGGGGGTGAGGTCAGAGAGGGACAATGGCAGTCCTCTCCACTCGCCCAGTCGGCCTCACCGCTGGCCCCCACCTGCTTATCTGAGTGCAAATGTGCGAGCCCGCCACCTTGCGCCGGCTGCCGGGGCCTGCGCGATCTGTCTCTATGCTCACCTCTTCACTGGTTTATCTGCGTGCAAATGCGCGACCAACTGCAGACAGCCAGCCGCGCCTCTTCCCTGGGTTCTGTCCGTAGCTAGCCTGCACCAGGGATCCGCACCCTCAGCTGCCTGTGCACCGCCCAGGTCGGGGGATCTTGCCCAACCCGCTCCACTGCTGGCTTCGCCCCTTCCTGGTTTAGCTGAGCAGTTCGTTATTTTTGGACTCTGTATTGTCGATTTTCTGTGTGGTTTGGTTGCATTTATTGTTGTTAAAAACTTTGCTGTTTTTAGATTTGGTTGTGCGAGGTCGCAAAGTGTTCCCACCTACGCCTCCATCTTGGTGGAAGTCTTCAGGATAGTCTTCACGTCAGGTTTGTCTTTCCATATTCAGGGAAAGAACAATAAGTGGCTTTTACTTTCCTCCTTCACCTGGCCACGTACAATCTTGGAACTAGCCAGAGCTCTGCCTCTTCCAGGCAGTCTTCCCTGACAGCTCCTGATCCTACTGCTGTATCTCTCCTCTGAACTCTCATGTCAGTACTTGGTTTCCATGGCTGCCCATTGATGTGTTTATGTCTCATCTCCCCATATCCTGCAAAATAAGTTATGGCCCAGTCTTCCTATTGTTTTGTGCATTCCACAGTATCAGGCAGTACTTAATTTAGCAAACTATTCAACCAAAAGTGTCTGCGTGAATGTTGCCACCAGATGGCATCAGAGTCATTGCCATTGTTTTGCGATTCTCGGTCTAACTTTGAGCCATTTACTGTCAAGTTAGCAGTTAAAAATGCCTTTCTTAGTGAAGAAGCGTCAACTTATTTGTTACAGAAAATGCCGATAAATGCTTCAGTAGAAACAAAGAAATTAACTAGACAAAGTTGTAACTTAGCATTTTCACATGGTAGACTGTCGTGTTCACTAGCCCGTCCCTGCCTCTTGTCGGGCTCTGGGCTTTCACCCCAGTGGTTGCTTTCCAGAACCTGACTGAGCAGAATCTAGCTTTCCAGGCTTCCTAATGGAGGCGCCTTAATACTGTAAAGTGGTCTGAAGTCCTTGGTTTATGTTTTTGGGTCATTTATTTTTTCCCCTGTAAAGGACAAATTAAACATTATAACAAGGTACTATAATGTCCCCCCTTCTAATATGTTGATTATTTTGGTTGCCTCATTGCAGTCTTTGCTCCCTTACATATGTGACTTTATGCAGTTTTGATCATGTGAAGCCATAATAAGAGCTCTCATTTACTGAACTCTTATTATGAACTATGTACTGTTCTTGTTTTATATACATTACTTTTATGTAAATGTAAGAGCTGATATGTTGAATACTTACATTATACTTATTGAATGCTTATTTATTGAATATTTACATTACTTATATTGAATGCTTACCTTGTTAGGAACTGTTCAAAGAGCTTTTCATGCATTAACTTACCTAAGCCAGACAACCTTGTAAGAGTAGATATGTTAAATCCATTTTATAGTTCAGAAAACTGAGGCTTATCAGGTTTGAGTGACTTGTCTAAGATAACACAATAAATAGCTATATTGGGATTCATATCTAGATCTTCTTAATTCTAAAATCTCTGGTGATTTCACTATATTGTATCATTAGGCTTCAGTGATTTCTGTTTGGACTTACTCTAGAAAGGGTCTAAAGATTAATAGAATCATTAAAATGGGGGGTTGATTTATGTTTTTCTCCTGCTGCTAGATTGTTAGATCCTTGAGGACAGGGACTAGAGGTCACGTTTATTTCTTCATTTCTCTTTCCATTAAATGCAAAGTAAATACTTGATGGATAAATGAATGAAGCATTTTTAATACAGAACAGAAAAGGTTTGTGCACAGGTACTAGCAGAGCTAAACATCGAGAACTGCAGTGGAGAAATACCGGGTATTGTGTTATGCATGGCACCACTCAGGAGAACGGGAGGCCAGTACTCAAAAGCCTGAACTCCCCAATGGCATGTAGATTATAGATCATATGGGGCAAAATCACCAGGCATTGGGTAATAAATAAATCATTTCTTCAGATCTTGGGGACAGTTCTGAAGTCTTTCCCTGCGTCCCTCTGTTTGGTCTCATGGAAAGGTAGCCAGGGGTCCATTCCACTTTACAGCTCAGGAACTGAAACATACATTAGGTCAGGGTGTTATCTTGAGCTCCATGGTGTGACCATTAGTCAGGCTCTGGCTACTGTCTTCTGATGCCTTGGGGGTTGCTGCCTATCAAGGAGAAGGCTAGGTCTCTGAGGGGTATACATAGAGAGGGATATGGTTCCTAGAACTAGGACTTAAAACTAAATTAGTCAGTTATAAGGACACTTGGGTTCATTCTCCCAGAAAGTCTAAGATACAAGCTGAATAGAACCGTAGCATGTTAGAACTTGAAGTGATTTGGAAAATCAGATCACACTCTTCCTTTAAGGAGGGTGACCTTGGGGTGACCCAATGAGTTGGAGGCAGAACACAACTTAGAATCTAAGTCTACTGGGCCATCAGGTTTCAAAGAGACTAATCCTGTCCCTGAATTAATCAGTCCCTTCCTCCCTTCTCTCTTCCCCCTCCCCCCTCCCTCCCCTCCCCTCCCCTCCTGTGAAATGACACCAAGAAAACTGAGGCTTTTTCTCACTGCCTAGCAGTCTGTAAGAGAATAGTAGCTACAGACAACTAAACATGGAAGGTGCTCTAAGCTGCACTTTCTGGTATGGCAGCCGCCAGACCCCTGTGGCTGTTGAGCACTTGAAATGTGACTAGTGTCTGCAGTAAATGTAAAACACATGTTAGATTTCAGAGCCTTAGTACAAAATAAGTAAAATATTTCATAAATAATTTTAATATTGAGTACATGTTGAGATGGTAGTATTTTGGATGTATTTGGTAAAATATATTATTAAAATTAATATTGTCTGTTTCCTTTTACTTTATAAAACTCAGCTACTAGAAATCTTAAAATTAAATATGTGACTTATATTACATTTTGATTGGGCAGCACTGGTCTAGAAATCCCCAAGAATAAATACTTTCTCAAAAGTTTACTTCATTAAGTGCTAATTAGCTTTTTTTTTCTTTTACACCTGCTACTCATCTGAGATGAGTGAAATCTAGTGAAAGGTGAAAGTTGGGTGGTTGGAGAGGGAGTTAAAAGGTATTGGGGAGCAGAAGAATGGTGATTAGTCCAAACTTCTGACTTAGAATTGTTTTATATCTTTGGAACTCTTCAGCCAACAAGCCGGAGGTGAAGACCTGAAGGAGGGAGAAGTGAAATAGACATTCTCTGAAATAGAAATGTGCCTCCGTCTCTGGGTTCTAGTCTCACTTTCCATTTACTTATCTACATTTATTGATGCCTGGGTGTCCAACCCTTTGGCATCTCTGAGTCACACTGGAAGAAGAAGAGTCGTCTTGGGCCACACGTTAAATACATTGTGACACATACTCACAAGCAAATCTCATAGTGATTTAAGTAAATGGGGGATTTCATGTTGGGCCACATGCACAGCCATCCTGGGCTGTGTACAGCCCATGGACCTCAGGTTGGACAGCCTGCGTCATGTGCCAGTTTTCTAGCACTAGACACAGATGAATATGGCCCAGTGACTGCTCTCAGGAGCTTGTGTTCCAGGTGGAGAATTAATTTGAACCCAGTCCCGTGCTCTAGATAAGCACTGTGAGCGGGTAGAGAAGAAGACGCTGTTGGAGCACTGCGAAGGCACGCTGCGCTCTGCCCGGAAAGGACAGTGAAGGCTTCATTGTCTTGGATGTGATGTTATCTGGCAGAAAGGCAGGTGGGAAAGATGTTTCAGCCTGAGGGGGAAAGCCTGACTACAAAGCATGGGGAATTGTAGAAGATGACCCTTGGAATAGTAGTTTGGGCCATATTTGGTGGGATAGGACTTCCTGTCTAAGGAGTTGGATCTTATTCTATATGCAGGGTAAAGTAGAGGGTTTTGAGCAGAGGAATGACATGTTCAAGACTGTTGCAGATGTCACTTCAGTGCTCCTGAGAGGGTAGATTGGAGGGGGACACACTGAAGGCGGGGAGGCTTAACAAGGAGGTCATTGCAGTCAGCCAGGCAAGGGACAGCACAGAATCAAATGGAAAAAGGAGAGAATGTGTACAATAGAGAGTTGGGTGAGGGATGAAAGGGAAGTGTCAAGCATGGTCCCAGGTTTCTAACTAGGATCCCCGGGAAGGTATCTTTGTCCACAGCTGGAAATGTAGGAGGGGATCAGGCTGAAACGGAGCACAGAAGATGTACTCTGGACTTGTGGGAGAGCTGCAGGGGGAGCTGGCTAGAGCTGCAGTGCTTGCATTTGTGTTTCAGATGGTGACCCTCTTTCAGATGTGGATTGTTCCCCTCTATTTCACATTGAAGCTGCACTGGTGGAGGTTCCTAGTGATCTGGATCTTCTTCTCTGCTGTCACAGCTTTTATCACCTTCCGGGCCACCCGAAAACCACTCATACAGACAACCCCAAGGTGAGAATTTAGGTATTGGGAAAAGCTAGGTTTCCTGAAGCAAACAGGTTGGGATGCATGGGAGGGGGTGGGTTTACATTGAAAACATTACAGTTTTTATCCGCCATGGTTACTTGGCTCTGGGCCCCACTAAAACAAGCTGATTGGAAGACCTACCCACCACTGACAGATTTAAGAAACCCAACATATTTCCCTATAGTTTACCTAATAGTTTGTTTCAAGCTTCATGTACATAAAAAGCAACAGTCCTAGCTGGTGTGGTTCAGCTTGTTGGAGAGTCATCCCATACACCAAAAGGTTGGGGGTCAGGGTACATACCTAGGTTGCAAGTTCAATCCCTGGGAGGCAACCAGTTGATGTTTCACTCCCTTCTTCTGTCACTAAAATCCATAAACATATTTTTTTTTTTAAGCAAAGAACATAGTAAGCAAATCCTGGTGATCATTGTATCATTTAAAATGTTATTTTCTGCCCTGGCTGGTGTAGTTCAGTAGATTGAGCACCAGCCTGTGAACCAAAGGGTTAGTGGTTCAATTCCCAGTCAGGGTACTTGCCTGGGTTGTAGGCTAAGGCCCCAGTAGGGGGCGTGTGGGAGGCAACCATACAGTGATGTTTCTCTTTCTCCTTCCCTTCCCCTGTCTAAAAATAAATAAGTAGAATCTTTTAAAAAAATAAATATTAAAATAAACTACAAAAATTTTTAAAAGTTATTTTCTTCTGTGAACCCTTCTCTAATATCTAAGTTAGACTTCCTATTATATTTTTTCATAGTGCCCTGCAGTTTTTTTTCATAGAGCTTATTATAATTTATAGTGAAATATTATTTTGAGATTCTACGCACTGAACTGTAACTATGAGATTAGGAACCACATCTATTTTGTCCATCACTGCACACCCAGGCCCTTCCACAGGGCCTAGCACGTAGTAGCCTACTGTATGAATTTTTGTTGAGTGAGTGAATCTCAGCAAATTTGCAATTTTTCAACAAATAGTACTTCCTTTTGGGGCACAAAGCACCTCCAGCCTGTATAATTCTTTGCATTTTATCCAAATGCACTTTCTTTTTTTTTCTTTTTTAAGATTAAAAAAATTATTATTTATTTCTCTTCAGAGGAGAAGGGAAGAAAGAGAGGGAGAGAAATATCAATGTATGGTTGCTTCTTGTGCGTTCCCTGCTGGGAACTGGCCTGCAACCCAGGCATGTGCCCTGACTAGGAATCGAACCGTGATCCTTTGGTTTGCAGACCTGCGCTCAAACCACTGAGCTACACCCCAGCCAGGGCTGCATTTCTTATTTGATCCTCCCAACCACCTTGTGAGGTCATTTAATATCTGTACCTAACAGGAAAAAAAAAAGATTTGCGCATTCATTCTTCATTCAACAAGCACCTACTCTGTTGTCAGGCCCTGTGTTGAGTGCTGGGGATACAGAGCTGGATAAGACATGGTCCCTGCCCTCAAGGAGTGCTTGCTTTAGTTGAGGAGATGGACAGGAAAGCAGCTGTTTCAGTGCAGTTGGTAGTACAGGTCCAGGAAAGCCCAACAGAGGAAGTGGCCAGCCTCTGAGTTATGCCTACCTGAGCCAACGTCTTCCATGTTGAAAGTTGCTCTTTTTCCTGCGCCTCGGGCGTTCCACTGTACTGCAACCTTTTGGCCATCCGAGTCTCATTGTAAAATTTATCTTCAAGGTAAAGTTGGTGATCCAGAAGCCCTCCCTGGGTGTGGGAGTTTATTTTATGTTAAGGGCCATTATATTGAAGATACAGGCTCTGTGGCCAGGTGGATGTGGATTGGAAAGCCCAGCCCCACCACTTGTTAATTATATGACCTGTGTGACTTCACCTTTCTGAGCATTGAGTTCTTAATCCCTAAAAGTGTGTAGTAATTACTACCTCATATAGGATGATATAAAGAAAAAGTGTAATAAAGCATATTAAGAGTCACCAAGTCACAAACAGTATCAACTTCTAGCTAAAATGACTGAAAATAGTCCATAACCTGGAAGATTTTTAATAATAATATTTGATAGTGCTTTACTATTTCAGAGCACTTTCATAAACATCCACATATATTCACAGAGCACTTATTGAGCCATGTGTTACACACACCAGGAAATGGGCCCTGTATGAACCAGTGAGAATAGCACAGTTTCCCTGTTTTACAAGTAAGTGAATTGTCTCAGAGGTGATTTGACTTACCTCTGGTTACCCAGCAAATAAACCTCCTATAGTCCAGATTCCACCTCAAATTCCACATCCTTTCCATTGTGTCTCACTCCCATCTGCTCAGCACAAACCCTGGACAGTGGAACTGTGTGTGGTCTTTGAGGTCAGGCACCGTGAGATGTTTAGGGCCTTTCCTTTGCCCACGAATTTATTATCCTTGTTTAGCAAGGGTCACAGTCAGGGACCTTGAGCAGAGAGTCACAGGGACCTTGAGCTTTCTCTCTGGGGCCTGGCATTGTTGGCAGTAACCGAGTTGGCTCAGGAGCTAGATGGGCCTGTGCTGGTTATTTAAACCAGCCAATTACTAATTGCTCATATGCTCTCATTGCAGGTAGAACAATGGCTCCTGATATTGAACACCTGTCTCTCTCTCTAACATTTAAAAGGCTCTGGTACATTCTGTTACCATCTTTCCTCTCTGAAACTAGCTGGAGTGTACCAGCCAGATCCCACACTGCTTTTCATTGGCTCCTTTGGGAGCATGGCGCAACCCCCGCCCCTCCCAGCACTACCATCACACACACACACTGCATCCAGTTCAGAGGTATTCTTTGAGTGCTTCCCTCTTTATCCCTATTACTCTGGGAAAATTTTTTTCAGAAACAAGTCATTAGAAATTGTTCACTTTATTATTGGCTTATGAATAGGAACAAAGCATTATTCAGTTTAACCACGCCCAGGTATGAAATTCTGTATCTAATTCTACCTATTTTTTATCTTTCCTCAAATTCTGTTTCTTGACAAGAACTACGAGCCTTCTCCCTGTTCCCTTCCGAGCATAGCCGTAGTTACTCATTTTCACTTCCTGTTCCACCTAACCTGAACTTGGGATGTCGGAGGTCCACTGTGCTCTTCGTTTGAGGCCGAAACCTTTTAGGGCTCTTTTATTCCCTTGGTCTGAGACGAGGAAGATACAAAGTACTGGCTCCCCAGTCTATGGAGATGTTACCACAGTTAAGGGAGGGAGTGACCTGCTTTGCCTAATAACTAAAGTTTCTCAGTAAGTCCTAAGCAAAGGGCCTGGTGTTGCCATTGATGTGATAATAAGAGATTCTGGTTGTCCAGAGGTCTCTAGAGTTTGTGTCTGCTATTAATTTTTTCTCCTTTTTCCAGGTTGGTTTATAAGTGGTTCCTGCTGATCTATAAAATCAGCTATGCCACGGGCATCGCTGGCTACATGGCCGTCATGTTTACCCTTTTTGGGCTTAACTTAATATTCAAGTGAGTACCCTTTTCTTTTTTGCTGGTGTTAGGGGAGGAGAGGCTAGTGGGATACCTTTCTTTCTGGAGCAAGTCCTGTTACTAACAGGGGGAATATGGTACCCAGGATAGGAAACTTGAGCCATGGGGAATGCGAGGGTGGGCCCTCCACAATTGTGCAAAGAGAAAGGCATGTCTGCATAATACAAAGTTAGAATCTCAAATCATTGGCTATATTTTCCAATAATGTATATTTTAGTGGTAAAGTCTAAGAATAATGATTATAGCCAGGCACCTGTGACTCCATCATCCTTGTAGAAACATTTTCCTTGTCCCTTTCTTTATTCCATCATCCACTCTGAGTGGTCTTACATTCAAGGGCACTACGAGTTGGCAAACTGTGTCCTGTGGGCCAAAGTGGCCTACCTCCTGTTGTTATAAAGCAAAAAAATATTTTCCTGGCACACAGTCACACCCATGTGTTTACATGTTGTCTGTAGCTGGTTCTGCAGTGAAACAGCAGAATTTAATAACTGAGGCAGAGACTATATGGGTCACAAAACCTAAAATATTTACAGTTTGGCCCTTCACAGAAAAAGTTTGCTGACTCTGGACTAGACATTCGAACTCGTGGTATGTAGTCGGCCACACCTGGCAACAGATCCACCTAGAAGGATACAAGACAGGAGACAGCAGTTCTCATAGTAGCCCCAGGGCTGAGACATGAGGGAATGAGACCACACAGATGGGTTTGGGAGCCGCCTGGCCCAGAAGTGTTCCAAGCGCAAGGAACACATCCAGTCCAGGTGCAGTGCTAATCACAGGTTCTTATATTCAACGTATAAGTATTGTGGCTTCGTAACACAGCTGACATTCCACCTGTATCAGATTTCTAAGGAAACAGTTCTAGAAAGTTAACCTGTGGACATTTCTTGTTGGGCACTTAGGTTGTTTTTCTATGTAGTGTTACTACAGATAACATTGCTCTGTTGCTTCCTAATGTTAACATTACTAGTAGTAGGAGTCTGGCTATTGCTTGACATTGTCATAAGCTTTCCAAAGATGGATATCAACGTGCAGATTCTCCCCACCTGTGACTGAGGCAGCTGCCAAGAAGTTCTGGGCTTTGGGACTGGCAGGTACAGAGGGTGGGGCCCTGGGGGGTCCCTGGCTGAGGTGATGAGGGCCGTGGGTCACGAAAAGTCCTAAGCCTGAGACAGTGCACTGAAGCGAAAGAGATTGAGGATTCAAATTTGAATTCGTGACCACTGGCCTCTTCTCCAAACCTAGTACACTTACGTGGGAGTTTCTTTGAAACCGGGAGGGAGTACATCCTACTTAATGTAGTGAGAGGACAGCCATGCAATTCTTGTAGGGCTACAACAGGCAGGAAGAATAAATGGGCCCCACAAAGGTTTATGGGAACCTATCAGTATAGAGTTTAACACATGATATCAAACAAAACCAAGGTATTTCCAGATATGTTCTTAACCTGTGTGGTTTAAAAAAATAAAAGTCAAGATTCTGCATTATGCTCCTGATCAAGTTAATTGGTATAAGGTCATGATGTGTAGTTATTAGGTTAAATATTATAAGATTGATAAGCCAGTTCCGTTTTCTGAGGTACCATTTACAGCTTTAAGTGAACATATACAGTTCCTGGTCCAAACAAAGGTACTTTTCTATAATAATAAACATTTACAGAGTCAAAGTTGCAAATTATTGGTCCTTGGACTTATTAAAACAAACCTCCTGATATTATAGGCAAGGACCTTGTCCTTATACCTGAAACCTATATGATTTTATACCCCAATAAATTCAATTTGAAAAAAAGAACTTTTTTCTTCTTGGTAATTAGGCATGGACCAAAATGTAACTTGATGACATTATACAGAATATGTACAGATGCAACCTAAAATTTTACAGTAGCTGGTATGGAACTGACTGACCTTTTTTCCTAAAAGCTGGGGTTGGCAAACTTTTTGTGTAAATGGTTAAATAATAAATATTAGGCTTTGGGATAAAAGGCAAAGTGTGGGATATGATACAGGTACTCACACAGCAGAGAGAAGACTCCTTCCTTGCCCCACCTTATTTCCCTGTTTGTCTCAGATGGCGGACACACTTTGTGCTCACTTGCCATCAGATGACACCTTCTCAGAAGCAGGGCCCTGACGAGGGGTATGTGACCCCTGGGATCATTTTCTTCCTCTGCTCCAGTGGCACCGGTGGGGTACCACCACTGCTGCCAGCAGTGGAGTCCCCAGTGTGTAGGCGCCAACCAGAACGGGCCCTCGGCAGCTGCAGTGCCCGGTTGCCAGTTGGAGGAGGCAGGCACTGGAAACACAGTGAGCAAGTGGGGCAGGAGGTGTTGGCCTGCCTTGGTCTTTGCAGCTCACAGTGATAGCCATTCAAGCAGTTCCCACAGACAATATGAAAACAGGAAGCAGGCCAGATTTGGTCGTAGTACGCCAGTACTTTCTCTATTCCTTGTACCTTCCAACTTCAGGCACTGCCTTCTGTGTCCCAGAGTAGTCAGCCAAAGCAGTTGTGTCCCAGGGCAGGCCTTAACGGGCTACTTCCTTTACAGGATCAAACCAGAAGATTGTATGGACTTTGGCATTTCTCTCCTCTTCTATGGCCTGTACTATGGTGTCCTTGAGCGGGACTTTGCAGAAATGTGTGCAGACTACATGGCATCTACCATAGGGGTGAGTTTACCTGGGCTCTTAATACTGCCTCCTGCCACCTGTCAAGAGTTCAAGATAGCATCACTTGTTTGACAGAAGAGATAAGCCATGTAAAATCCTTCAAGATGTAGGCAGTATGTATGGAGATTTCTTCCTTAAAATTTGGAAAGTCAGATCTCAGATGTCTCCTGGAATTTTTAACTTGAAGACGGTTATAGGAAAGAACCACTTTCCCCTGGAGGAAGTTACCATTCATTCACAAGTATTTATATGATTCCTACGTGCCTCAACACTGTATGTGCTGGAATGACAAAGGTGTAAAGAAATACATATGGTCCTTACCTAAGTGGAGTTTACTACTCTCTAGTGACAGAGAGGACTGTTGAAGTAATAAACAAGAATAAGCATAAAATTGTAATTTCAGTAAATATTATAAAGGAAATGTTCATGATGCAATGAACAAATATAGTACAGGCATTTGACTTAGTCTCAGGTTCAAAAATAGCTTTCCTGAAGAAGAGACTGCTGAACTGACTTGAGCAATGAGTAGGAGTTAATTAGATGAAGTGGGAAGTGAAGTGAAAATAGAGAAAACACCAGGCGTGAGAGTCCTGTAGTGGGAGAAAGGGTGGGCGTTCTGAGGAACTAAGGCTGATCCAGTTGTAGGGCTGAGGGTACAGTGAACTATCTGGAGACAGAGGCTAGACTACAAAACCCTCACAGGCTGAATGAAAGGTTGCGATGGTTGTACTAAAAAGACTGGGAAAAGACTCAGATTTGTGTTTTGAAAAGATCGTACTGGCTGCTGGGCAGAGAACAGATTGGAGAGGGGTCCACAGACGACAGTGGACCACCTGACCACCTGAGAGACAGTTAAATAGTCTGGGAAAGATGAAGGAAGTTGGGATTGGGCTAGAGATGGTGGACAGGGAGAGAAGAGCACTATTTGAGAAATATTTTGGAGGTAGATTTTATAGGACTTGGATTTAGATTGGTTCTGGAGCCTGAAGGAAAACCTGTGAAGGAAAGGTGGGTGTCAAAGCTGAGATTTCTAACTCGAACAACTCTTTGAATGGGGTGTTTTTTAGTGAGGTAGGAAATCCTGTCAGAGAACAAGTTGGAGACTGTGGAGAAATTCTTCAAGCTTAAAATGTGGGTAAAGTAACAGGCAATCTTAGAATTCCAAGTCAGTATTCCTATTTCTTTTTTCATAATGGAAATATGCCTTTGTTTTGCTGTTTATATTAATTATGTAAATAACACAGAAGTGTCCCCCATCTCAGTGTAATCCCATTAGACCCCATGCCAAGAAAAAACATTCCTACGTTTAATGGACATTTCTCCATTTCTCTGCTGAAATATATGTGACTGTCTGATGAAAGGGGCCTGAGAGGCCTTCGCAAGTTCTTGCCGCATCCTGGGCTGACAGCTTGAAGGAAATCCCTGGGAGAGTCTCAGGTTCTTTTGAGCATCCAGATACCAGTCTGCTTTTAGTCAGAAAATATCAGTGGAGACCAAGTGATAAGAACAGGAAAGGACTGGCACTGACTCTACGTGACGCGCCTCAGGAACTCTCCAAGGGCTTGAGGCAGTTTTGCAGACGGGCGAGTGTTTGCTGTGTGAATCGTATGTTCCTGTTACTGCAATCTCATCTGTGCCACAGGCCAGTAGGCTCAGGGCAATTTAGGTTTAAATAATACTCAGCCATCACCTCGGATACCTTTAGTCAGATATAGTTTTAGATCTAGGACTTTGTTGCTCAGTATTATGGGACAATTTACTTTTCCTATAATAGATAAAATTTAAAACAAAGTGTATTGGGTCACTTTATAGACAGCTTATAGGTTTTTTTTTTTAACAACCGCCTTATGTTTTAGCTTTATTTTGCTGACCCTTACACATGTGTGCAGGTTTCCAGTCTTTAACCAGCTCACTTCCCAGAAGAGATTTCTAGACCTTAGAAAATCTAATTACTAACTTCACTGGCAACAGCAGCTGTTCTCTAAGACTGCCTCTGTGGCAGAGCCAGCTTCTCAAAGTGACTCTTCTCAGTGTCCCTTCCTGTGTGTACCCTCTAGTGATTTCCTTTTCTTCTCATTCTGTTTTTACAGGACCAATTCTCTGATTTTCCCAGGTTGTTGCCAACTTTCTCTCAAGGTTATTATCAGCTGCCAATTTAAGCATAGCCTTAATTTCCTCAGGTGGGTCACTAGCAACCAATCCAGGGAATCCCTCTTCTGTCCAAATGGGACTGGGCTCAGAATTGATCCACAAGTTAGCTTCTCCTAGGGTATGAGCTGGACTTCTTTCCATTTTCTTGGGAAGAATTACTGGGTGCTCCAATAATTACGAGTGATAATCCCTAATAAGATAATTCCCTGATTATGACAGATTCCAGCTTTACCAAAAGACCTGGCAGGAGAATTTCTTGTAGGGTGGAGAGTGCCTCAAAAACCAGCTCTTGACCCCCTATATTCTCCTTTCTTCATGTAATCTAGTACCCCTGCCACTCCATGTTCATTCTTTAATATCCTGGCCCAAGAATAAGCCCACGTACTTTCCTGTACCTCTTAGCACAAAAACAGAAGGATCAAACAGTCAGTCACATTCGACTTTATGGAAAACTTCAGTCATCTTCAGAGTACTCTCTTTGATGCACTACACCTATCGAGATACTTTTTTAAATCTGCATAATATTCCACTGTATGTGTATAGCACAGTTTCAGTCCTGACCACCTTTTATAGTCTTCTGTGCATTCAACGGTCGAAACCCCTGCCCCGGAGAGTCGGAGAGGCTGCTGCAGCTGTTCCGCCCACCGGGTCAGGGACCGGGTCTTGTTCTTCACTTGCTTCCCCTTTGAGAGTGGTTTGACCTACAAAGATCTGTGATTTATTAATGTCAGGGTTCTTAGAATTGGGACCGGGAGGTTTTATAAGTGTATTAGCAAGCTTTCTCAATTCCTTTTCACTGTTCTACAGCACTCTGTTTATTGTTGAGCACCTCTTTGGTTCGTCTAATGAGGAGAAACTTGTAACATGAACTGAAGTTAACACTCTTCTTATGATGAGCCTAGGGAACCTTGGATATTTGGGGATTTTTTTCCAGCTTGTCACTGTGAGATCATAAGCTTGTGACAGCCAGTCAGTCTAGTTTCTATTCACACCCAAAAGTCATGTTGGGATGGGGTGGAGGAGGGTGGAGGGTTGTGAAATAAGCCTATTTATGGGGCTTCTTCCAGGCAGGCTAGTAACACAGTGTTCGTCTGCACTGCGTCTACCTCACACTTTGTTCTTCGGAGCAGTTTCTGTACCGCAGAGTTACCTCCTCAGTGGCCCCATATAGCATCAGGATAGGACTAGCTGCCCATTCCTGAAGTAGTGGAAAGAGCTTGGGGGTTAGAGTCAGGCAGACCTGGTTTCAAATTCTAATCCACTTTTAATTAGCTATGTACTCTGGAGCAAGTAACTTGACCTCTCTGATCTTGTTTTCTTAGCTGTAATAATATTACCAGACTGATAGAATTGTTGGAAGGAACAGATAGTTAATATAAAGCATTTTGCAGAGTTTGCAACATCGCCCAGTCCTGCTTTTCTTTTTGTTGCTGATATTTTCTGTCTCCTCTGCTAACATTTTCTTTTCTTAAATGTTATTGTTCCTCTGAGCTCAAACCAAAGTCATTCTTCTCTACTGTTTACCAGGGTATTTCTCTTTTCTTTTTCTGTGGCTTCCAGATTTCTAATCCAGAACTCCTTTCTGACTTTTATAATTCAGCTGTCTACTTGCCATCATTAGTCTGTCCACTTCTCTCAATTTTTACTGCCATCAAATGAGCCCAAGCCATCCCCTTAGTACAGGCCTCCGTCATCTGTTGCTTTTGAGGAATTGTAATTCTCTGTTAGCTGTCCTCTCCGAGTCCTCTTCGGCCTTGTCTCCAATTCATTTTTCACACAGAAGACAGGGTGATCTTTTTAAAAAATTGAGTCTGGTTATGTTTTCTTTACTTAAGTAAAACCCTTAGATGTTTTCCATTTCATGTACAGAATTTTTCATGTGGCTGATAAGGTCTTACCGCTTTCCCTTCGTCTTCGTCTGACACTCTGCCCACATTAGGTTCCTTTCCACTTCTCAAGCGCATCAAGCCTCGGTGCCTCTTTTCCTTTCTGCCCACCTTCATCTCGTTAACTGCCACCCAGCCTTTCCCTCTCAGCCTAAAATGCTGCACAAATAAGGGTTCACAGAGGACCTAGGCTTAGGTAGGAGCCCTTTCATTGCAGTGTTCTTTTACAGCCCTTTTACTGCCTTTTAATAATTCTTATTTTACCCTTTTAATAATTAGTTCTCATATTCACATATATGAATATATGAATATGAATAAACAAAATGTCAGTCTTCCCCAGCTGTAGGTTTCATGAGGTCAAAGGCCAGGTCTGTGTTTTTCTGCATTATATCCCAAGAACCTTGTCCAGTGGCTGGCACGTACTTACTAGGTGCCCAATATATTTTGGTGGAAGGAAGGAAGAGTTTGGGTGGATTGCTGAAGGTCATCAGGACAGTAACAGAGGACTGAAATTAGGTCTAATTCTGACACACCATGTGGCCCCTTGAGCCCTTTTCACTGAGGAATCAGGCTCTTGAAGTTAAACTGAAATCCGCCTCCTGTACTTCACCCAGCTTACCCTCAGTGTCTCCTGTCTGGTTTCTGTGCACTGTGGGATTGCTGGGGCTTTCCTGACTTGACTGGATTACCTGATGACTTTGTGGAAACGTGAGGAGTTTGATCCTGTCTGCCTGCTGCCACATTAGCCTTGTGAGGAGAACTCAAGAAACTAGGACCTAACAGACATGATCCTGGGTTTCCCTCCTTACTGTAGTTCCCTTTGGGCCTGCATCTTTTGCTCCAGTATCCTGGAGGGCAGAGCTTGGGGAGGATTTAAGGGAAGGCTCTTCCTCAGAGCTCTAACATATCTCCTGCATTGGAGTGTTCCTGTTTTGTTACTGTCAGCAGTGCTGTGGGCTAGAG